ACTGATATAGTTCTCAGCACTAGTCAGAAAGTTCAGAGCTTAGTTTATTGACTGATGCCGACCACACTCAGATGAACATCAGAATTTTAACCACTACGCTGTACTGGTAAGTAGCTAAAAATAAACTTGTAGAGATCTGACATGGGTGGTGACCGTGTTGTTTCTCACAAATATTCTAAGGTGAGAACCTTAAGTAGTCGTGGGGTGTTCGTCCTCCTCTAGACTGTCAATTGAAACGTCTTACAACCCTTAACATCTATGTCCGTTCAAATATATTGTTCCTTTAAACAATTACGGCCTCGTTTATTTCCGTCGTACAACTGACTAGGTGTTCGGCGACCATGATTGTCATATTTTAATGCACCCACTAGAAATTCATTTATTCTAATTAAAACCTTGTTCTCATTTTCTATTAATGCAACAATTAGAATGTATTCATTTTGTGATGCTACATAAAATTAAGAATCTGGTTTCTACTACACGTTATGTATCATAAAAACAAATGTAAACCAATAAAATGTTTATTGTTCCGTGATTTACTACTGGTTTTTGTTTAGATTACGGATTTTAAAGTGCGTTTGAACACTGACAGCGATTAGAAACGTATGAGTGACCTTTTAAGAAGTTAGTTCCGACGTTCTCAAATGTGATGAGTACTGATCATCCTCATCAAAATCCTGGGATTCAAATGGTCTGTGTTGGCATTAACCTACTGAGGTTTACAAGTAATGATGTAACTGCTTGACATAAATAATCTTGAGTCAAAATTACACCACCTTATCCCGATCCACAATAACCTGTGGCCAGGTATCTCCATTTTTATGATATATCTAGAGAAGAGACGGGAGCCTACCACAATAATATTGTAAATTTGTACAACCAATTATAGATTTATGAAAAAAATGCTGCGTGTATTTGTGCTCATCATTGACTGATGAACATGCGTTAGTCATCTACTAACTTCAGAAATTTTATTGAACCATTCAGCGTCCAGCAATCAGTCTTCTGAAAGCATAAGTCAACCATGTTTAAAATTATCTTTCTTTAGTTTGAACGGTTCGATTGGACATTCTGCAGTTGGACAGAACGAAGTAGTCTACTAGATTGCATCGTGCCTGACTTTCTAGTATTTATGCATTTTTAATGGATGGATAACGTTTGAGATTTTCTTTTTGCTGGACCAGTTCCGTTATTGTTAATTGTTTTATATTTTATAGCTAGATAAAACCTCTAAGTTATTTTAATACTTTCTAGTAATAGTATCACACCACATAGATCTAATATGATTTCTGTGGATTTAAACGTCATTTTTGGACAGCGAGTGCTCTATCAAAGTATCCTCAGTGGGAGAGGATCTGAACGTGGTTTTATTGGCTTTCATTCTGAATAGAATTTGATAGTATCATGATTTCTTCAAAATATACATACTGGCTACTTAGTGTTAGAGAATAACAGAATAAAATAAATCAAATACGAGAATGAATGTTGAATACGTATATTTCTTACAGTCCTTGTTCCGAACAAACATTCAGAATGAAAAGCAGGAAAGCAAGGCGAAGTAGAGGAAGCGAGCAAGTCAACCCGTTTTGATCAGGCGCGAGTCACTATTTGTAACCAGACAAAAATACAGTACAGACATGTGAATAGTACGGTAAGCATTACATACAAACATGCTCATATTACAACAGTCAGGGTTAGTGAACCAATAAACGACATGGTTAAATTGTGGCTCAATAATAATAAATAAATTGGTCTGCCTGGAAGTTAGGATAACCCCCGTGGGTTTGATAATAGTATTAAACGCTATAGTGGCCTTAACGATTTTTAACTAGCACGAAGCTGACAAATGCGGATAACGTCCACTTATTACACTTCCTAGCGAATTAAATGAAATCGTAGGACAAGCTGGAACATTCATATGTCATATTTAATTACACGTCCAGTGTTAAAGAACCATCGGAAACTCTTAAACTTACTGAAAAATCCTGAGAACGTGTAAGCATGTTGTAGGAATTTAGATCAAAGTACCTTGGTTGTGAGTCGATGCTCCGAGTTGCTTTACGCTATGATGAGGTGAAAATATGGTCTTTCATGATAGTGCAGTCATCTATATTCATCATAATTTATGACATTTGATCAGTTGATTCGAAAATTATTAAATAGAGAAATTAAAAACGCAGCATACTACATATCATCTTAATTGTATCACGATACTTATAGTCTCCTCACTACATAATGTTTTCCGGACACAGAGTTGACTTGTGTGACACATGATTTCATGGTGTCTCTTAATCAAACATACAAATGATTCTACATCACAACAACATTGACTGAATATTTAAAAACCAAAGTTGCAAAGTTAACAGTGCACAGACTAGTCTCGTAGCTTCTTACTATCATTTTAAACGTTTGTCAACCCTATGGCACATTCGTGCCCTGTTCTAATAACTCAAAACTCTGACTTCAGCAATTTTAATCATGCTTTTTTGCCTCATAAACTAAAATGAAAAGACTGATTTGATAAATGAAGCTTCACTGATTCTAATGGGTGCTAAAGGCTTAAAACACTGACAAAAAATAATGAAATTTTTACAATCTTCGACTAATATTCAACCTCAAGACTGTTACGCTATAGAAAGCAACCTTTCGCCGGTCGATCCTGTTACTGCTGGATGTAATCTATGGCTTCTGAGAAGTTATGATCAATATTTTTGTTTTATACTCAATAGGCACTCGGCGCTTTGTTATCATGTTATCCCAATTGTATGATATATTGTTGTATGATTTACCTAATGCTATGGTTTATTGATTCAAGACTGATTGCCTAGCTTCTCTTTTGCCTCTGTTGTAGTTGTGCATATTTGACAACTGTTACTTTATATTGGATGAGTGGGCGGGAAATCACTGTGGACTACTAGATAATTTGGGATGTATGGACCACATGTCAGTGACGTTATTTGCTTTCTTACTTTGTCCTGTGGGTGAGCACTAAATGTGCAGTAGCTCAATGACCGATACAAACTGAATTATTGAGTGTCACGGGAGAATAGCTTTTCAAGCCTTAAAATATAAACATTTTATCGTCGATGATAAGAATATTCATTCGTGAATGTTTTTTCCATGATCATACGAATATTTATCAGTAAATTTCATATATCAGTGAAAACTGACATGTCATAGTCACCATGGCAGTATTCAGAGCAGAAAAATTCTTTCTCATGCTTGGTTCTTATGCACTTTCTGTAAGATTAATAGAACACATCTATAATATTCATTTGTGTATATTGATATGCGCCTCCAGATCATTTTTCGTACAAGTAGATATCTTTCCTGTAACCATAGAAAAGGCCAGACTAGCGGTCGTTTAAGTCCTTACATAGATTGTGAAATTGAAGAGTCTGGAAGCGAGGTTCGCCTTTTCCAAGAACAATATTTCAGCATTCAATGTGGAATAGTAGGAAATATAATGCCTACACAAAATAAGAAAGTAGAAAAGTACTTGGGCTTTAATATTTTGACATTACCCGGTAGTTTTCGGCCAACTAATAACCAATCAACCTGAGTTGTTACACTAGCTTCCTCTTATGGTCGGCTTCCATGGGAATGTCATTTCAATCAATTTATCAAACTAGAACATGCCAGTTTGGTTACCGCAGCCTAGTGAAGAACTACTATATCGTCTAATTTCTAGGTGTTATACCGGCAAATTCAATGACAACCACAAAGATACTTCAAAAATATTATAAACTCTGGCTTTTATCTCACTTCGCATCATTTACCTGCTTTCCACAAATTATTGCACCTTAATTGTTGAACGTGTTCTTTATGTGAGGACCAGAGCCTGCAAGAGAATGGAAGATGAAAAAAGAAATAAGGATACTCGAAGTGACGCATTTGCTTTACCCAACTCCATGTGTGTGTGGGTTACGATTTTCTCATGCTATACCCGGCTAACATGCATTTACTTACTTGCTTAATGAGTCATCCTAATGTCAATGTTAATGAGTAATCTGTTCCGAGAAAGGCAGTCAAATTTAAAGAATTAACTTAAAACTCATATAAAGTTATCAGATAAAAGAAGGGGAGTGCACAATTATAAGTGATAAATGTTTGGTTCCATATGAACATCTGATTTCACAGAATGTATTGGTAATCTGGATTATCTTTGAAATTCGTCATTATAGAGTGGGTTCACTGTTCGGGCTCGTAGCATGCGTCCATTGCATTCCGAGTCTATTATCTTTTTATGTACTTTTGATTTCTTATTTTTATGGCGGCTACGTTTGAGATGTAATCTCTACCCTGTTGATTGTGGAACTTTCAAACTTTCTGTCAAGCAAAACATTCTGTTGTTAGCCTGAATGTACTCTTCAAAGGTTTTCACATGTAGTGCTACCGACTGTTACGAAAGCGTGGGTCAGTATAACTAAGGATATAATTGATGTAAGATCGTCAGTGTTAGGCAGTCATATCGTAACAAGTTTACAACATTAGATGAAGTCCATTATTCTTTTAGAATAAATAAATGCATAAGTATAAACCCGGACCACAAATCTTACTTATCTACATCTCAGCTAGTAGGTAAGCTAAAACGTAACACACACAGTTACATGTATACCTACATAAAATGTTCCGTCGTGGAAGTTCAATAGGCAAATGATACAAACCATTATTGTATTTATCTATAGTCCATCTTCCATGTTCTTTAAAGACTTTTATTTTACATTCAGTTTCCAAAAACTGTTACTATAACTTACCTACACATTAAAAACAATACAGGTCATAAATATAACTACTCGTTATATACTGTGATTACTGCGAAAGTTAATAAAAGACCTCTGAAATAATTACTTATTTTGAACTAAGTTAGTAAACAGAAGCCATCATTCATCAGAGAATAGCATTCGGACAACTTTCAATGAAAATTACTGTTTTAAATAAGTAAAGAACACTCTGTTGATCAAGGTGTTTCAGAACGTTTTCAAATAAGCGTATTGATCATGGGGGCATCTTTTGGGAAAGTTTTAAATTACTTATACATAGTTGACCATGGTGAAGCAACAACAGATTCTAATTTGAAGAAAGCTAAAATTACGTGCATGTTATCGTCAACTCAAAAGCCTGCGAAACCTGTATGTTAATTTTTCTCCAGTTAATAACTTTTGTAAAGAACCCTCATTGGAAACACCTGGAGCTTCAAAAACCAGGTGAAGAGTTACGTATAAGCAACCTTAAGGCTGGTGCAAAGTTCATTCACGAATCCAGGTGTAGTCGGGAAAATATCGCTGTGATAATGTATGTAAAACACTACGAAATACCATTTCTTTTTGGGTAAAAAACTGTCTCTTTTATCATTACCCGGATAAGTTTAGTTTCGTGTCCTTCATTTTTTGCTTTGAATAATTTCAATTTTTTAAATGATGAGTAAATTTGTTTAGATATTAATTTATATTTAGAATATTTCATTTTGTTCACTTAATTTAAGAGAGGTCCAAGAACCATTATGTTTAAATATATGTTGATTTTGCCGTTTATTATTCGAAAGAAAAAGTTTCAGACTTTTTTAGACTGTGTAATAGACCTGATTGAAAACCTAAGTGGTTTATTTGAACGGGGTTACTACGTTTCCATTGTATAAAAGTATTCTGAGTTTGGTTAACTTCAGCATAAATCCCCAATGATTTGCTTTGTCACCTTCAAATGAAACCCGAGTGTCCTAAATTCTTTTTATGCACAGATATTTTCAATATATCGACAAAGTTTTTAAATTATATTTCTCCAGTCATCCTTCGTATTTGTCTAATTTAATACCTCATCAAAATCATTTAAAAAGAAGGGCCTCTTCAGAAGAAACAACTCGGCGAAACCGCAGTTAGTTATCTTCCTTCACTTCACCCTTGGGTTTTGGATTTTGTCAAACATTTGCTAGGCTATAAAAGAAATTTGAACCACTAGCGTATTGTTACTAAAATATTATCCCAACAATCAGTATTGCCTACTAGAAACGACTTTAAATCGCCTCTTCGACTATTTGTAGTTGTATTATAATCATGCAGTTTCATGCGGTATTGTTGTATAGTGAGATTATCTAAACAAAAACATTTACCAAATTCTTTCCCGGATTTGTCAGAATTTTCTACTTCAATTCAATTTTATCAATCGCTTCTTTGCAGTTTCTCAATTTCCGGTCATAAATATCAGTCGAATTGTAAACTTAGCAAATGGATAGAGGCCACATTTTACTGCTAAAAACAGACATAACGACAGTTCATTCTCAATCGCGTATGGTCCGAGTTAGGAACAGATATGCAATAGAATAAAAAGGTAACAAATCATTTACTAAATTATCGTGTAATTTCCAGCAACCTCATAAGTTTGTAGTCTTTAAACATTTAAAATCAGTTGTTTAATAAAGAACCCAAGGTTTTTTATGATCAAACCCAAACCTACTCATAGTTTTTCCTCGCTACCGTCTTTTGAACTGCCACTCCTATTAATAAGTTCAGTTATAGAAAAACCTCTCGACACATCAATTTTTTAATCACGTCTAGGAAACTAACCTAACTCCATTTTTCGTTTTAATTGCACTGAAATCAAGTGGTTTGTGTTAACAGCATATGATGTCTAATTCGCTGTATCTTTAAAAGTTATGTTTATCCTGAACACAGATGTAGAAACAAATTGGATGATAAGAAAAATAACTCCGTATTATTGGTATGGCAGACAAGTTATTTGCTCATCCCATTAACCGGGTTGGTAGAAAATTATGTAGACTCCCTACATATATATATATATATATATATATATATATATAACTGTTCCGAAATATCCTTATATTTTAAAAAGTGCGGTAAGAAATATGGAGAACAAAGTTGTGGCAGTGTCGTTGACCTTTACTTTCCAAAGTTCAAATGCTAGTTTCAAAAATTGCATTTCATGAAATATCTTTCATATTAATAATCAAAAATGTTGAATGATCTCTTCATAAGGCGGAATTAAAAAAATATCTATGCTTAGGAGTGGAAACATGACAAATGAGAGTACTATATCGGTGCAAGCTTTAAAAAATTTTATCATACCCAATAAACTGAAATATACTGACAAATCTTGCATTCATTTTTCTTTGTCTAAGTAGTGTGTTATACAGAAAGTAATTTCATGTATAACGTCAGAGGAAACAAAGACTTTCAAAACAGCTATCTCAACAAGGCTAAACCCATTATTATTTAATCACTTAGCTTTTAAAATGGCTTTATTAAACAAAAAGATTTTTCCTAGAATATGTTGGCACTTTTATCAAAAGAGAAGTATAGTATACCTTTATTTGTTATCAGAAAGAAGTGGTTTTTGTGAAGAATTTTGTTTGTTGAGAATCAGGAGTTTGGTAAGAAATAAGTGCATCTGCACTACTGTACTCCATTCTAGTCTATCGTACACAATACTTACAGCCGGATCATCAAAAGTGATATACAATCGTATGATCTTCATGAACCCTAATTGTTGTATGCAAAAATCTAATTTAGTATTTTGTGTTCTTATTAAAAAAACTAACAGCTGTTTGTTTACTGAAAACAATAGAGTAATATAATGTTGATATGTATTCTCATCAACTGGTTTCACATAACTCAGCCTTTTGATATATTTCGTGACGATATATACAATTAAACTGACAGAATAAAATGTATATATTCTCCTACTCTAATCTTCTCTTGTTGCCTATCCACTGATATTCATTTACTACATTATTTTCATCTCATTTCCTATCTCACAAGGTATCATTACTTATTTGTTTTCTTCATTTTGACTATCAACCAGCATTGACAACTTCATTCTCCACTTTATATGACTTCATTTTCAACATAAACTAAATAGTGACCAACCCTAACTACTGTACTGAATAGCATTTGTTATGGGACTTCCTCGTTATTATGATTTTCTGTCTTGTTCCTAGACAGATATGAAGCGATTTTAAGAGATTAAAATCGCTTCATATCTGTCTAGGAACTAATTCTTTCTTCCTGTACTATCTCCATATACACAATCTTTCTTCTATATATTACCACCACTGAATTAACTACTCCTATGAATCCGGTGTTCATCTTGTTGTGCTAATGCGGTATGGCAACTTGGACCGATGCATATACGTGCCTGGTCCTACGTTGCAGCTGACTGACTGACTGTCTTGTTTTGAAACCGTAATCTCGGCCTTATTAATTGGGATAAATGGAATGTTTAGAACAGAAAAAATACAACTAGCCTTGGAATCCAGTAAGTACCCCTTGTCCTATTTGAGACTCATTTGCTGCGTGTAGCTGCATTTTAGTGTTGATTTTCATGCTACCACTCGAATTCAGTATATTTCACTCTAAACGCTAATATATTATACATAACTAGACTACTTGATAAATTTAAGTTTAACGCATTACCCACTAAGTTACTAGCTAAATTCAGAATGCTAGCAACTTTTTCTACGAGATATGATGATTAGAACATTATCAATAAGCTTTTTAGTCATCCTTTCGTTGATATCAAAGACCGAGATGTAAATATATCTAGCTGGAGAGTCCTAAATAGGATAAACTGCTCTTTCTGGATTCCACTGCTAGCTATGATCAATCTGTTCTAAATAAGTTTTGATAAAACTATCACATTGATACAGTCTGAACAGGATACACATGTCCCAGTAAAGACCTATCAAATTCAATATTGGATACCAACAATGGTATGGCTCGAACCGACACTAGTAACGATGTATCAAAACATTGTTCATGATCACATTATCCTTTATAACTTTAGGCTAATTGTAGTTGATAAAAAGCCTTTATGTAGTATGAGGAATTTATTTTATTCCAAAAAGAAATATTGTTATATTTATTTTGTTCAATTAGTGACAATTATACAATTTAATTTAACAGTTTTGGTTTTGTCTAAAAATATTGACTAACACTTTTGAAAATATAAATGTTACATCTTGATTAGCTAGTCAATTGTGTACTTGTAAACGTTTTTACACCATGAAAAGCCAACAGAATCGTACTCAAAAACTAGGAAGTACAATTCAAAATATCCAGGAATATTTTCATTTGGGTTAACTATAATTACTGTTGTAAGTGGTTTGAAAGCAACTTCTATTGTCTTAACACTACTGACCTTGTGTTTTAGACCTTAATTTTGAACTACTTTTCAAAGTTTTTTTAAATGCACGAGCGTTATTTAAGCCGCTTTTAAACATTCACGGCGCAATATTATCTGAGAGTATCCACAATATTTTTTATGTATGTAGAAACTCGTGCCATTTTTATCCAGTCGGTGGATAATAGTTAAAAATTATAGTGTAATTTTCATCAAATAATTCATTTTCATTGGTAGAACTATCCGCAACTTCCAGCTGCGAATATGTTAGATGTAGCTTTCTCTGTCGCGACACATGTGGTAAACTTTATGCTGCTAAACAATATTTCTAATCAAATGTACCCTTAAATATGTGGCAGATGCCTACTGAATGAGCAAAGTAATGATAGAAAGTGCCAAAAACCACAAAGTTAGTGAAGCTGCGGATTACCTTAGTCTTTTAAATGGATGCTCTTGCATACAGCTTTGTAAGGCTAGATTAGTAATGAATACATACTTGGTTATCTAAATAATATGACTGAATGAGCGTACAAATATAATTTTTTAAAGAGTCCATCAGATTTTCTTGTTAAAATTCATATTTTAATTAGAACTGCAATGTTTATGCAACTAGAACTTCTTAAAATTCTGATATTAATTATTTTATTAGTGGTTTGTAGCAGTCAGTTGTATGTACATATTCAAAATCCTATTAGCGAGTGTTCCTAATAATCAATATGTGGTTACAGTACACCAAAGTGTTATACCACCGTTCGTTCACCGCCAAAATTACACTGGCAAACTATTCTTACGTATTTAGTAAAGTTGGATATAAACATTTCTGACTAACATTAAATTATTTGTATGTACAACATACTACTTTACTGGTACAATTCCTTTTAAGAACTGGTATTAACAGACTAATGTTGTTCATTAACATGTTAGCAAAATGTTAGGGACAAAAATGAACATGATTAAAAGTCATCTGAGACATGAGTAATGAGATAATAAGTTTGTTTGGTAAATCACTAAAAAGTCAATTAAAATAAGACCTTGCCCTTTGGCTAGATTATTAACTCGTAAAACATTAAATCTAAAGGGTGGGTCTATTATGATTAAATTAAAAGAATGCAACTAAGTTATTCTTGCATTAATATTCAAGTTGTTCCACTACATTTTTTTTG